CTATGCAACACTAAAGAATAATGTAGAATCTGCAAAACACCGCATAATGATAGAGCCTAGTGGAACCACTGAGACTATGGTCCCTAGCTGCCCTTCAGGTCTGGAATTGAACCCACACTTGTGGTTTCCAGCCAAACAGAAGACAGGCATATGAGTTGAACATTTACCTGCAGTAGATACAGTCCTTGGAGAGAACAATCATTGAGAAAGAAGGGCTGCCTATGCACAGGGAGACAGCTTAGGGGTTAGGAGTCCATGGAGAGATGGACATTGGGAAGAGACAGCTGTGGGGAGGAAGTGGGAGGGGAGCTGTTGCATTGTGGTAAACTATGGTCAATGTCATGAGACAAAATATATGTAAACTGCTGTATGGAAAGTGAATTTGCTCTGTAAATCTTTACCCAAATCATACACACACACACACAAAAAGAATGTGCATCTTTCATTGGTGAACTCCTACTCTTCATATTTAAAACAAAGGCTTATGTACAGGGATAGTTATTGAAGGAAACAAACAAACTAAAATCATTCTCCTCAAAGTGATTTTTTAATCTAGCCATTAAAAATGATAAAGATATATATTAGCATGATGGTAAGATTTTCTCAATTTATTACCAAGTACAAAATAAAAAATAAAAAACCTCAAGATTTAAAAAAGCATATAGTAAGTTTTCTAAAAAAAAACCATGTTTTTGTGTGGTTCTATTTGCACAGGAAAGCTTCTGAAAGGATAAACACGTAAATGTTGGCATTCCTTCACTGGTAAAAGTTTGAGTGATTTTTTTTCTTTTTGCTCATCTGTGTTTTCCTATAGTGAACATATATCACATGCAGTTTTTAAAGGAAAAAATAGCAGGGTAGTACTGAATTCTTTTTGCATTACCTTTCTATTCTGAAAAGTTCAGGAACAAAAATTCTACAGAATCTCCTGAAAGTAGTAAAGCAAGCCAGCTAGGAAGACCCTAACCCAGAAGCTACAGTGTAATCAAAAGCAAACAATGATGATGATGATGATTTAACATGAGCGATGCATCTTCTGGTGGCTCTCAAGGTGCTTTGTGAAAGCTCAGGATGGATCCAAGTTACAGACACCATGTGAAGATCTGTAAGCCCAGGACTACCGACAGAGGAAGCAACTGACACAGCCAAGACCCTGATTTGGACTTCTCACCTCCAGAACCTGTGACTAAATTAGTATCTGTTCTTTAAAGCCACCCTCTTTTCTGTTAGAGCAGCACTGGGAAACTAAAGTAGGTTGATTATCAGTAGAAAACACCACTGAAACTCATCCAAATCCTGGCTTTGAAATGGAAACCTTCTTCCACTTCTCAGCAGCTTTGCGTCTTACCCCTTTCCCAGACAGCACATACACAGCTTGTTCTGTCCAGTCTACCCAAAGCAAAGCAGGATCGAATTAGCTTTGAACACACAGGTTCCGCATAAGGAAAACCACGTGAACATTTAAGATGATCGTCAAAATAATTCACTCTGAAAACACTTTACCTTAAAATATTCACATAATAAAAGTGGGAGATGTGTTTCAAAACAACTTCAACCAGTAATTATTTCAATCCTGTACTTTATTTTGCATGTGTATAAAACATAGTGAAAATAAAAACCCAGTCCTGTACCAAACTGGCCAGATTTGAAGACGAAAGTTCTGAACGTTCCTGAAAATTAATTTCAATGCGGTAAATCCAACAAACTGTATGAACCATATAACAGACTTGAATACCAAAGATCAACTTTCTCCTTTTTCTTTCCCTGTTTTACATGGTTTTGATGGGAACATAGTTATAGAGAACACACTGGTGGTGGTATTACTATCACTTTCCTCTGGTTCAACCCATGAAGAAATTTTCTCACTTTCTCAAACAAGTGTGCCAATTCTGTTAACTGCTTTTAACAAACTGATTTTGACAGTAACATCAGAAGTGTTTTACCATCTTATTAATTAAACAAACGCCACTGTCTGTGAAAGCTAGGGTCTTACATACTTTGCACAGCCTCAGAAAAGCAAGGGTCTGATACTGTGATTCTGGTATTTCTTGTGCCAGCCCTCCAGGGCCAGGTCTCTGATTCAAAACAGCATGCGCCCCCACTCAGGCTCCAGACCCGCCCCTCCCTCCAACTCTTGGTTGTTCTTCATTCACATCTGCTAGGAAGCTCAGAAGGTTAAGAGGTGAAATAACTGAAAATTTTATCTTTTTCTAGTGGCCGAATCTTAATTTCCTATCATCCAAAGCCTCACCAAACATTTTTAGTGGTTCTGAAGCTTTAGGGTACAGACGAAAGGGGTGGGAGAGGTGCTTTTTAAAAAGTCAGGTCTCAGAACTCCACACTCTGAGATGCAGATTCAAAAGATCTGGGGTGGGGTTCAGAAATCTCTTTTAGAAGAGAATTCAGGCCACCCTGACACAAGTGGTTCCCTGGCCGCCCTTCAAGAAGCCTTGCAGCGCTTCTGATGGCTGGACAGTAGTGTTTTACCGGCTGATGCAGGATTCTGATGCGTCCTGGTGGCACATTCAGCTTGAGCTTGAGCCCACCCCCACCCCCAC